GGGGGGGGGGGGGGGGGGGGGGCACTACACATTAACTGAAGGGAAACATTATTCGACAAGGGAACACATCTCGATACAACACCGGTAATAGACTCCACAGAGGTAAGGCGCTGTTGGAATGAGCTAACTGTTGCTTGCAGGTTGTCAAGTGAAGCTTGTAGTGGTTTAGTGGACTCTTGAATCAGAGAAGAGACGTCGTCCGAAGTGACTGCCTCTGTTTGGCCAACTCTGCAGACAGCTGGTCCATGGAGATAAGCTTAGCTGTGATGTCTCCAGAAGTTTCCGGAGGGCTGATAGCAAACGTGGCTAGCTTCTCGGCTGCATTTTTGCTAACGTTAGCATGTGTAGCTGGAGTTTTGTCGCGGTTTGCTGGTTTTGCTCATTTTGCAAGAAGTTTCTATTGTAAGTCTTACTAGGCAGACTTTCCTTAAGGTTCCAAAAGAAACGTATGGTTAAAACAAGATTTATCAAGAAATAGACTGGGAGCCCACACACACCCATCCTCTCCCTACATTCTCCGACTGGAAGTCCCATACTGATAGTTTATTTGCTGTAGACTGTTAGGACTCCCATTTTTTAACAAGATTTGTATACAAAAATAATTAAAAATAAAAGCCACATAAAATGGTCTTGCATCTTAAGGAAAACAAAAAGTGCTAAGGTTTGACTTACAAATGAGCAGTTAAATAAACCGTGAGATCAATATGAAACACAGGTGTAAGAAAACAAAAAGCAGCAGTAGTGATGACATTCATAACAGCGGGTTACTCTCATTTTCTAAAAATTCTAAGAAAGAATTCTATTTTGATAAAGTGATTTGCTTTACCTCCAACAATACATGCCAGTCTCTCTAAAGCTAAGTAGGTTTGAATCTTTCCTAAAGAGAGTAATTATTCTCCTGGCCTGAAGCAGTACAAAGTCTATCAGCAACGAAAACAAAGTTATCTGGGTGTACAGGTAAGATTCATAGCTTCCTACTAACTCTCTTGAATGAAAAGCCAATAATTAATTGTGGCTCATGACACAGTACAATAAGAGAAATTAGGACAAATGCAAAAATGAAATGAAGTGTGTGTGTGTGTGTGTGTGTGTGTGTGTGTGTGTGTGTGTGTGTGTGTGTGTTCTGACAATATCACCAAAAGCTGAGCATTTTTGTTTTTGTAGAGGTTGTAGCAAGCTGCTGTATTGGATTGCATTAGATTTTAAAGGTGTACCTAATAGAGTGGCCACATGGTGTATTTTCATTGTGAATGTGAAAGAATTTTCTGCAGAAGCTTAGATGAATATGCTGGCTAGTAACCACAGGAAATCCCACATTTTTATCCTTAACTGTTGGCATTAACTGCTTTATCAATTTCCTTTTATTCCTCTCTCTGCCTGTCTCTCTGTCTTTCTGTCAGTGGGCTTTTGCGGACTGTTCCACCCTTCTCTCGTCCCCTCCTTTTGAGTGTTGCCTTGGAGATACTAGTGAAGAAAGGCAAGGAGGATGATGAGTCGGTCCATTCATTTGTTTCACGGAGGCTGGGAAAGGAGGTGAGGGGAACAGGGTCACAATGATCTCAAACTGTTGTGATATCCAACTGAAACCAGTATGATGTATAAACCAAAGCATTACCTGAATGGCAGCATAGCATAGCATAGCTTAGCATTTTTTTGAGTCTTCCTTAAAAGGATACTTGATTTTCCCCAGTATGACCACTGAAGCTTTACATCCAGCTGAGCTTTAGAGGACAGAAGGAACACACAGAGCCAAGACTGTGGAGTTTGACCTCCATCACCTACATGGGAGGCATGTTTGAAAGGGACTTCTTTACTGATGAAGGCCAAACCTTTTGGCTTCTACACATAAAGTAATCTTTTGTCTTTGCACAACCTTTGTCCATCATTGAGTATACAAATGAAATGCAAGTGTTGTAAGATAGACTTGGAAAATGAGAAGATTCATTTTTATTGTTGTGTGTATATACAGTAGTGTGTACAACCCAAATTCTGAAAAAGTTGGGACACTGTTTAAAACTTATGATAAAGACAGAATTTCAGACTCCTAAGACCACAGCAAGCTTTTCCACTTTGTGTCAGTCCAGATGTCAGAGAAGTTGGTGGTGTTTCTGGATGTTGTTGATATATAGAACTTTTTGAATAGCCTGTGATGTTCCTCAGTTCCTTCCATACCTCATTGATGTTGTTCTGTTGCAGCTTACTCTCCACCTTTCTTCTGTAGTCCACCTTTGCCTTCTCAGTCTCCCCTTCAGCTCATGTTGAACCTCCCTGAGCCACTCTTTGTCCCCTTGCTTGAACACCAGCCTTTTCTGGTTGAGGAGCTGTTTGATTAACCCAGGGTTTATTAGTGGGGAAGCAGCGTACAGTCTTTATTGGCATCACAGTGTCCCTACAGAAGTCCATGTCCATGTTGCTGTCCTGTGGCTCCAGTAGTACAGTCCAGTCTGTACGTTCAGAATTCTTTCATTCATCCTTGGCATTTCCATTAAAACAAATCCAGTGTCTTATTCTCCCTGGTGGGATATGTTGTTAAAATCTCCTGTTATTGCAATGAATGCACTAGGATGCTGGGTCTGAATCCTAGCAACACTTTCAAGGATGACGTCACACACCATTGCCGTTGCTGTCCGCAGTGGAATGTAAACAATAATGATGACAATGTGCAAAAACTCTCAAGGCACAAAATACGGTCTAAGACCGACTGCCAACAGTTCAATATTCTGACAGCAGATCCATTTATTGTTCACAAGCAGGATCAGTCCCCCACCTGTTTTTGGCGTTCGCCTTCGCATCCCTGTCCGCTCGCACAGTAGAGAAACCTGTTAGGTTCACACAGCTGTCAGGCACGTTGTCATTCAGCCACGTCTCCGTGAAGCACATCAGACTACACTCCCTGTGGAGTCGTCGGCTCCTCACCAGTGCCAGCAGTTCATCACACTTGTTGGATAATGAGTTTACAAACCCATTATTACTGACGGCAGGAAAGGCTTGTATCTCCACCTCCACACTCACAAATGACAAAGAACAGGAGCTACTTAGACTTGCTGCCACTCTGACCTGTGTATCATTTGAAAAAAAAAAAAAGACTTTCACTTTGTATGGTAGAATCTTAACTTGCTTTTGTAGATGCAGCAACCAACTGTGTTTATTGACAATGGTTTTCCAAAGTCTTCTAAGCCCATGTAGTAATGTCCTTTATACAATCATGTTGGTTTTTAATGCAGTGCAGCCTGAGGAGTTGAAGGTCACGGCCATTTAATATTGGTTTGTAGCCCTGCTTATTACGTGCAGAGATTTATCCAGATTCTCTCAATCTTTTGATGATATTTTGGATTGTAGATGGTGAAATCTCTAAATTCCTTGCAACTGTGTGTTGAGAAAGGTTGTTCTTAAAATTGTCGACGATTTGCCCACACAGTTTTCACAATGTGACCATTATTGCTTGTGAACTGCTGGGTCTTTGGAGGATGCCCCTTTCAGACCCAGTAATGATAATCTGTTTCATACCCAGTAATATAAATCTGTTCCCAATTAACCTCTTTGGCTGTGGAATGTTCCAAACTGGTGTTTTTAAACATGGGTGTGTGTGTGTGTATATTTACATATGTGTGTGTGCGTGTGTGTGTGGTGTGTGTGTACAATCTAATAATAAATCAAACATGTAGAGATGTCTTCGACACCTCTGTCTTGGGTATTTACAATATCCAAA